AAATGCACATTTCCTCAAGGCTCGCACAGGTCCATCATATGTAGCCAGTGCCCGGCTCCAAGCGGATGACTCTTAATTTGTGCTCTAAATCCTTCGGGCAGTGATTCCATGTCGGATGCTGTATGTGTACACAAGGACGAGAAACTGCACTCAGCTTCAGGGCAGAGGCGCTGCACCCTTACCTACCGAGGACGGAGCTGAAGAGACAGGGGAAGCAAGGCAGGACTGTTAAAAGCCACAAAGGCGAATGCACAGGTGGTTGTGCTCAGAACGCTAGGGTGATGTGTTCACACTGCGCTGGGGCACCAGGCTCCAAGGCCATGACCTTCGGCTGGGTGTGCCCGTGCACGCGTGTGTGCCGACTGAGGACTTCCTCTGCACAGATGGCACTGGTCTGCGACACTGACACGTGTGTGGCGACCTGAATCTCCAGCTCGGGTGGCAGCAAGTGGATCTGTCACGCAAGCGCAAGCGCGTGTCTGCTGCTCGGAGGTGACAGGCAGCACGGAAGGGCGGGTCTCCCTGCTCTCTGAAGGGCTGGGCGTGGCCACACTGAGTCCGTTCTCCCAAGTCGTCCCCACCGGGAAGGAAGGCTCCATGCCGCTGCGGTTCTTGTCCTCTCACCCCCACTCAGCCTTTTCCTCACTGGTGCGCCGGGCAGGAGCTGTCAGGTGCACTGCAGGCAGACAGGTGTGCCGCTGGGTTTTCCTCCGCCTCCACCGCGACTCCGACGGGCTTTCCTCCCGCACTTCTCAAACCCCGCAGCTGGGGATTATCTTTCACGGCGTCCCCGAGACAAGCTCATGCCAGTTCACCACTGTGAGAAGCTCTGAGGGTGTGACGGCCCACACATCTGCGTTGCGGGTGGCTGCAGGGGCTTCTGTGTCCTTCAGACCCAGCTCCCTATCTCGACGGGCAGACTCAGGGACACATGGAGCCTGCTCCTGGGGACTGCATTTTGGAACAGCGAATTAATACTCTACTCTTTTCTTTCTCTCTGTCCCTGTTGCTTTCTTAGTTTGCATTAATTACCACACACAATTTGAGGGGAGGGAGCAGTGAAAGCAACTTCTCTGATGCACGCAGTGCGCTAAGGGCCCCCTGCACACTGGGCATTACGTTCACAAGTAAACAAGTTGGCTGACTTTATTTCACCAGGGTTAAGGATGCCAAGGGTGGGCAGGAGAGATGGCCAAGATGTCTCTCAACTTACTTCCAGCTCCAGAGTGCCAGGCGCCCGTGAGTCCTGAGCCTGCCCCTCTGTCTGCAGAACACAGTCCCAGCTTCATGTTTAGGGTAACTCAGCCTGGAGTTTCTCATACGCCAACATGGCACTTTCCAAATATCGAGGCCATGCTGGGCCAAGAAGGCTGGTGCCATCAGGAGGTGATGACATGAGGAGAGCTGCCTCTGGCTGTGCAGGGCGAGGGTGTGGATGGGACACTGGCTCAGGAGCTGCTGGCCCAAAGGAAACTCGGCCTGTAGACGGCAGGCACCTTCACTCCGCCCTTCCACAGAGGGCACTGGGGTGCAGGCTCCGGAGCCGAGCAGTGGGGAGAGCAGCTCCCTCTCCCCAGGTCAGCCGGAGCCCTGGCCAAGGTCAGAGCTGACTGCGGCAACACGGCACACAGGTGAAGGCCTGGCCACTCACAGACGCCAGCAGTGTGACTCAGGGAAGCCTGCTTCGGGCCGATCCACAGTGTACATCCTTTGTTGGCTTCTGCTTCTGGCGACGCCATCAAATGAACAAATCTGAGAGAACTGTGCAGGGTTCTCTTTGCAACTGGGGCTTTGAGGCTGTGGCTGCTCGGACCCGATGACCCAGGGGGCAGCTGATCTGCACGGTCCAGGGCTGGGGAGGCCGGCTGTGGTAGGGCCTCAGCCAGACAGGGCAGACAAGTAAAAGGGCCAGACGTCAAGGTGCAGGGCAGACAAGTAAAGGGGCCAGACGTCAAGGTGCAGGGCAGGCTGACCTCATTCTTCCGGGGAGGAATTCGGGGGTTTCTGGTGCCATGATGGAGCCTGGAGAGAATGTGAGTCAGTTCTGCAGAGAACACACGGAGCCTCTGCACACTCAGGCACCGCTTGGGAAACCTGTAACGATATTTCTCATTTTCTTTCTTCCTCTGCCTTTAGCTGTCCTGTCAGCGGGCCATGGTGGAAAGCCAGAGGCTGTGGAAAGACGAAGAGCCCAGAGATGACCCCCGGTGAAGCCTCCTCCAAGGGTGGAGGGATCCGAGCTGCAGTGGCGTCACCCAGGCAACTGCAGCAGGTGAACCTGGCCTGGCGGGGTCACCACTGTGCAGTCCCAGTGGGCCTCTGCCTTTCTGAGTAGTTGCTCGCTGCAGCCGGAGGCAGCTCTGTCTGAACAGGAACCCCATGGTCTCCCTGCCCGCCACAAGGCCACGTCCTGCCCACGCTGGTGCCACTTTTCGAGCACGCTGTCCTCGTGGCGTTGTAAAGCAGTGCGTCTCTGTGGGCCTTGCACGTGTGCCTCCCCTGCACGCGTCACACTGCGGATGCATCAGCAGCAACGCTGTGAGCAGAACAGAGGCTGCCATGTCCTCTGACTGTGCAGCACAGTGGCCTTACAGGCCATGTCCCAACTCCCACAGACTGCCCCGGGCGCTAACACAGAGTCAGAAAACTACAGCCCATAACTTGTTTCAGTCAATGAGCAAAGAATGTTTTTCACATCAAAAGTGGAGAAGGCTGGAGGAGCAGCAATCTGTAAATGTGAAAATGACAAGAAACTCCAGGGCCAGTGCCTACCAGTTTAGCTGCCCTGGCCCTGCTACACTCGCTCACCAAGTGCTGGCCACGGCTGCTGGGGTGTGACAGCCACACTGCTGAACAGCGGCGGCAGATAGGATGGCTTCGGAGCCAAACCTTGGACCCCTGCAGAAACATACGCGCTGCCTGCAGCTCCCTCTGAGCACAGGATGCCATCCCACCCTGCCTGTCCTAGTAACCCCACCTTCGGAATCCACAAAGAGCTGCTCCTTCCGTGTCCGGATCCAGAGGGGTGCACCATGCCAGTGGTGTGCAAGCCTGGTGACCGCAGCCAGGTCCCCTTCTCCCAGGTGCGCCCTGTCTGCCCAGGGGTCCCCCTCTGAGGCCGAGTCCCCTCCCAGCACCCTGCAGTGTTAGAGATGAGAGTGGTGTGTGGGCACCACTCAGCAGCGCTCCTCTCCTTCTCAGTAAGCCACCCGTTGGCCTGGAAGACGTCTGAATGATTCTTCAGACCACACGTGTGATAGCAGTTCTTTATACCATGCTTCCTTGAACAAGGACTAGCCAGGCGTGGTGGCCCATGCCTGTAACCCCAGCACTCGGGAGGCTGAGGCAGGAGGATCGCTATGAGTTCGAGACCAGCCTGGGCTACACAGTGAGTTCCAGGTCAGTCTCAGCTACACAGTGAGACCCTGTCTCAAAAACCAAAAACAAACCAACAACAACAACAACAACAACAACAAAAAACAAGGGCTAAACTTAGAAGAGGAAGTTGGCACTCCATGCCTCTGTTTCAGACTGAGTCAGAGAACAGCACTCTGCCCGGTGGTGGTTCCATTCAGTAAAAGTGACTCCAAGGACAGGGAGCGAGCATTCCCAAGTTGCATGGGCTGGTGTCTCTCTCACTATGAAAATTTCCATGAGAAGAACGGTCACCATTTTACAGCACGGTCAACTGAGGCTGAACAAAGCGGGCGCAGCCCTACCTGCCCCCAGGCAGTCTTCTCACTTGGTCTGGAGTGGACATCGTGCACCTGAGTCTCAGGGGAGCAAACTCGCTTCTCCTAGTGCCGCTCCACAAGAGTGCCAGTGATTTGAGCTACAGGACTCCCTGGTGGTCCGTGGAGCCCCCGACCCTTCTCGGAAGACGACAATGCACCGCACCCACTGTCCGAGTCAGAGCTGAGCAGAAGTGACACCCGAGAGGCCTGTGGAAAGACACCTGTGCTCCGCACAGGCCGAGAAGGCCTCCGACTGCCAATTGCTGTCTGCTGACTTCACAGAGTAAGTCACACAGGCAGGCTGTACCTGGGAGCATGGTCACCCACGCTGGAAAGTTCTGCCCACGCATCTCACTCAGGGCGAGAAACCCTGTTCGGGAGGTAGGCTGGGAGCCGGTCCACTCACAGGATGCATTTTTCAAAAACCCCTACTTATGTAATTAGGTTTTCTGGAAACAGATTGTAGGAAAACAAAATTTACTGTATAAGTTCCAGACACGCATGGGAGTTAAAACCCCCACACTCCAGTCTCACACAGGTAGTCTGGTGTGCGCCCGCTCCCTGGGTGCTGCGGCTCACGTAGACGCAGTCAGCACTGCCAGGCCAGGGCCCAGGAGGAGCAGTGTGGGTCAGCACTCACTCAGGGGCCGCAGAGAGAGGGCTAGTTATTCAGGAAAGCGACTTGCTGGGTCACAGAGCAGTGGCGTGAAACAGAAAAGTTCTGGATGGTAAAGCAGCCCCTGAAACTTACAGACCAGGGCACTGCAGGTCAGGGAAAGGGGACGGCGGCTGCCGGGGCCCAGCCTCAGGCTGGCCTAACAGCTGAGGACCAGACAGCCCCACAGGCACAGGAGGAGGCTGGTCATGTGCCACTCCCAGCAGGCGTCATTCAGATGCCGACTTCTCTGCTGTAACTCCTCAGTACCCCACTAGCAGACCAGTATACTTCACGTATTTTCAGTACTTCAGCGGAGTTTTCAAAAGGAATCACAGCTCAGAAACTGATCTTCTAACTGTATTTAATAAAAGCAAACTGGCTTAAATGAAAATCATGTATAACTCAGCTAAAAGTTCCACAGTCAAGCAATCCCAACACAACCATTCTCCTCTGAGAAGGCACAGTTTACAAGAGCCAAATGTCTTCCTCTTTATTTGCAATAACAAAAATAAACCGAGGTCCTCACATATTTGTAGTATTTTTATTCCTAAAGGAAAAAACAGGAACTCTCATTGTCCTCGAAGATTAAAGCTGCTCCTCAGATACCGTGCCAGCCTCGCAGGCGAAGCGAGCCGGCACTCTCTAGGAAACCCTCGATGAGGGCAGCGCTCGGCCAGCCAGGGGGCCTGCAGCAGATCAGTGCCCAGGACCCTGCAGCCCACGGTCCTGGCCAGCCGGCCAGCGCTCTGCTCTGATTATTCCTGTTGCCTGGCTAGTGACCCCCTACAGGAAGATAAGGGATAAGCCAGGAGGGCGGAGCAGCAGCTGCACATGTCTGGCTGCATTTATCAACTTATCATATAAGGGAAGGAGAGTGATTGATTCGGATACTGACACGGGAGAACCTGGGGAAGGAGAAACAAAGAACATGCAGGCTGCTCTGTGAGCCCAGAGCCCGCCCCAGTGAGCCGGCTGCTCTTCCCACTGCAGTCTGACAGTTCACTGCATGCCCAGAGAGGCGACGGCTCCAGAAAGCAAGGCTGCTCCCAGGCAGGAGGAAAGAGGAGGCTCAGCCATGCAGCGCGGGCCAGCGTGCTAGGAGGCAGCTTGGGACTCTGAACTCACATGTGCCTGGACGTCTGCTGAGCTGGTGGTTTCTAACCCGAAGAGAGAATGTGGCAGATTGTTTTCTGTACTTTGGGCTGTGATCTTGTCTTGGCCGCAGCCTACAACAACTTTCGGAAGAGCGTGGACAGCACCGGGAGAAAGCAGTACCAGGTCCAGCACGGGCCGTGCAGCTACACATTCCTGCTGCCCGAGATGGACAGCTGCCGCTCTGCCTCCAGCCCCTACGTGTCCAATGCGGTGCAGAGGGACGCGCCCCTGGACTACGACGACTCCACACAGAGGCTGCAGGTGCTGGAGAGCATGCTGGAGAACAACACGCAGTGGCTGATGAAGGTAGGCGCCCCTGAGTCAGCTCGGTTCTGACTTGACTGGGCAGAGCAGGACGGTGCTCGCACCCCTGGGTGCAGGGCCCCTTCTCTGGTTCTCTCTGGGTAAAAGTGGAAAGGGCTCCCTGCTGCTGAGTGGTAATGAGCTCTCTGCAGCTAGGAGTCTGTGCTAGTGAGCAGAGTGCACTGCTCTGCAGAGCTCACGGCTGTTTTGTGTGAGGAGCCAAGCTCAGAGGCACCGCTGCCAGGACCTTCCCGGTGGGTCGTAGGGTCTCAGGGAGGCTCGGGCCAGGGCCGGCCGCAGGAGCCAGGAAAACGTGACAATCATGTTAATGGCTGATACATGACGGATGTAGTCAAGTGCTTTACCAATTTCCTGAACTTCTTTACGAAAATAGATCGTGCCTCTTGGTAAATGAGAGGAAATTAAATAAAGCAGACCAGTGTTTCTCAGAATCTCAGGGCTAGGAGGTAGAGGGCTTTTCATCTAGAAGCGGGATTGGGGTGTTTCACGGGTGTCCCCGAGGTGGTGCAGCCCCCACTCAGTTCTGGCCCCACGTGGGGCTGTCATGCTTGCCGCTACCATACCGAGAGGGCCAGACAGTCTATTCTCGCGCTGTGACGATCCCATAGCCTTTTTATAGACAGCATAACCAAAACAAGAAATTGAAAGCTGTTTTTCCTTCATAAATTATCATTTTATACAAACCCCAAATGACCCTGGCATTTTCTTTATGTAAACCATACGTATTCTAACGGAAGTTTAAACAATACATATAAATAGTGGATTGTTAAATATGACACATCATAATGCTTCCACAGTAATTATTTAAAGCCGTATAAAATCTCTGAGAAGTTGGTGAACCTTATTCAGCACTTCCTCCCAGAAGAGTCTACTTCTTAGTCCTTTACTTCACTATAAGCTCTGCAGTAGCACACTTATCTTAGTCTCAGAATAGGTCCGGGATCCTAATCTGGGCTTCTCATTAACTCCCTGCCTTCAGGGAGGAAGTACAAGTGGAGTCTGAATGAGGGGCTGTCCCAGCACTGTCACAGCTATTGTGACCCAGAGAACAGCAAAGGAGACACTCGGCCACAGAGCCCTGAACACAGACAGTGTCACAGGAATGTTCTCCACAGTCTTGAGCAGCTCCTGCGCGAGTCCTCCAGTTTCTGTCCTGTCTTACTGCCACACTGGCAGACTTTTAACTCTTCTAACGTCCACAGATGCACACAGAACAAGGCCAACGCATGCAGGAGCCTGGGTTCTGATAGTTGGAGGGCAAACTGCACCCTGAGTGTCTGCTTCCTGGAGAACTGTCATGCTCGTGTCCAGCGACCTCCCACGTCTACCCGCGAGCGAGCGGGCGCCCATCTAGTAAACACCCTAATCTGCGGGCTAGCAAGTCCTCCGGTAAAGTAAACAGTCTTGGAACCTGAGAGGATGTTGCCAAATGCAGGAACACTGCACTGTTGGCTTGGCTGAGCCCACGCTGGGGGCCCTGCAATTCTGGGAGAGCAGCTGGTGCTCTTCGCTGGGCAGAACAGTCCTTCTCCTGGGCCTTGAGACACTTAAGATGGAACAGGACAAGGAACCCTGAATTAGGTGACCGAAACCCCTTCTTCCCAGGGCCCAGGCGTGAACAGTAGCGCAGTTCTGAGAGCCCTCCGCTGGCCACCCAGCCAAGCCCCAGTGGGAGTGAGTTTATTTCTCATGGGCGGGCGCAGCTGCTGGTGGTGTCTGGGTCTATGCACCTGAGATGGCACCTTGCCTGCTCACCGCTCGGTTTACAGTCTCCCGGCTCAGGAACAAAAGCAAACGTGAACGTGAAGCCCATTTGAGTAAATGTAACCTCTCTGCTTGTTATTCTCCTTTGTGTTCTGCCACCTGTAATAATAAACACTGCTTTTCTCCTAAGGAAGAAAATAGATTTAATGCAATGAGAGATAAGCCCTATAATTGAAGCACCAACACCACAACCCAACACTTATTCATAGATTATCAAGAACGAAAAGGCACCATTCTGTGTGCTTCATTGTTTTACATATTTTCTTTGGGGCTTAAAAAAAGTTTCCATATTTCCTTTCTCTCCCTAATCAACACTAAAAATAAGACACAAACAAAAAAAGCCACCGAGACTTTAAGCTTTTCAGTTTAAGAAGGATTGTCAGACAACGCAAGGCCGAGTTTTGGGCTGGCCTAGGGTGGATGGCTAGTGTTCCGACTTCTGCGTGCAGAAGCTGCCTGCGCCTCACGAAGAGGCCCAGGCAGAGGAAGCGTCAGGCTTCTGAATGGGCGCGAGCACGTGAATGAGGGCGCAGGGAAGGGAAGGCTCCCTCTCTGGACAGTGTCAGGCAGGACAGGACGCACAGAGGCGGCTCTCCTGCTCACCTCTGACCCAAGACACCCTCCCTCTGCCTCTCGCTCCCTGCGAGTATTGTGAACCTCTGTCCGGCAATGCTGAACACGCCGTAAGACCCGCAAGTAACTCAGCAAAACGGACTGTATTGTGCTAAGAGACCAAAGGTATTTTTCTTTTGGTAAGAGGAAATATGGAAAGGAAATAACCATTTCACACTGATGAGTGCTTTATATTTTATACACAACTGCAAATTCTATGGCCACTTTAAAACAAAATTGAGAATTAAGCTAATGCCTATTACACTGATGTAAACATTTCCTTTGCCATAATACTTATTTTTAAAAGTAACCCAATTATGGGTAAGGAACCCCAAATTGGAACACTGATCTTTCTTTAAAAGTGATAATATGTCCTTTTAATGAGGTATAGGAGAGCTGCCACGCACAGTCCCAGGGAACATGGCAGTCACGCTCCATGAACAGGCTCACTGCTGTGGGAAAAAGTGATGGTGAGGGCTCAGGGCTCAGAGCAGCTCGGCCCTCCAGCCCCACCCGGGAGAGAAAGCAGGTGTGTGTATGTGCGTGTGCTTTGTCATGCATGGCTGCAAACACTCCCTAGCCCTCTACCCCCAGAGTAAAATGCAGACCTGGGCTCAAGGCAGCCCTGCCGTGCCCGCAGTGCCGGCCTCCTGCAGTCTGGGAGAATAGCTGCCACCGTCCATCGGGCTCACCTTGAATCACAAAATGTGACCCTGCTCGGGGTTGGAAGCAAACTTCGTACATTCAGTTGAGATCATTAAACCCTCTATCTGAGATCACAGAAAAAGAACTGCTACTATTATATAGCAAGAGGAAAAACTTTCATCATGGTAGGGAAAGTCTGAAAAGCACAGCTGGGTGTGTACCTTATGCTACATGGTACATGTGCTACCACAGCACGCGTGTGTCCAGGGCACTGCCTGCTGTCCGGAGCACAGGCTCAGTGTACACGGTGTATGTAACAAAAACATGCACGTGTCCAGTACCATACAGCTCACGTGTGACACCAGCCTTCTGCAGTCCAGCAGTGTCTGTTATGAGCCACGGGGCATGGCTTCCCTGCAGCCCAGAACCAGGAACGTCTTCTGGTTGGGACACAGGACAATCTGTGTGGTCTCAATAAGGACACCTGCATCAACCGATTTTAATCAATACGGTTTTTATAGCTGATGAATGAGTTACAATCTGTGCAGTTACTATGTTGCGAAGGTGGAAAACATAATTATTTTATAGATGATGGTCACATGCTCAAGCTGGCCAAGGCACTTATTTTAACCCACAAAATAGCTAAGTTTTGTATACTTGTAGTTAAAAAAAAAAACCCAACATTTAAAATCAATTCTATCACCAGATAGATAGTTTTAAAAAATAAAACAAAAATGTCGTGAAAGTAAGATATGGGCAAGGCTAAAAAAGTCAAACTATGAAACGCTAGGAAATAGGAAGTACATTCTCTCCCCTTGGTGTCTCCTCTTTCTTTGGGACTGGCACTTAGAGATTTAATGCTGGTCCTTTCTGTGAAGATTTAATATCAAATGCTCCGTTTTCATCCTTAAACTGCACCCAGTGGTGTACAAAAGTTCAGAGTCCTTCTTGGCACGTAAGCAATGTAAAGAGAGGTTGGAAGGAAGACTATTTAGGGAGCTGGACAGGTAGAGCAGTGCAAAGATGTGTGTATGGGGTGGGGAGGGGAGGAGACAGACAGACGAACAGACCTGAGGAAGAGGCACGGGTTGCAGGACTCCTCTGACTGGGAGGAAGAGGTGGTTTATATCTTTCCACACCTGCCACGAAGGACCCAGCCAGCTCTGCAGATTTCCTGAGTTCAGATCCAGAGGGCTGTGACACAGACCACAGACGTGTGCAGGCCATTTCCTAGTCAGGTGTTCAAAGTCTGTGGAATATTTGTACGACTTTATGACAGGGACGGCTCAGCAGATGCGCTGCCCTCACTGCGTCTGTGCGTGTGTTGTTCTATGTGACAGACCTTTCCCAAACAGGCCTCATTCATCTGGTGCCCTCACACAGCCTAATTAGGACCCATGTAGAGAGACAACACCTACTTTCGCTCCAACGCATCCTCCTCTGACTTAAAGGAACCCAACAATGAGCATTTCTCAAGTCATCCTAGAATTCTTCCAGTACAAGGAGCCCCTGAGTGAGCAGCCATATGGTCATCACTGAAGTAGCAGCAGCAACCCTGTGACAGGGGAGCGACAACAGTTGATGCTGACTTGCTCACCAAGCCTCCCCTCCTCAGCCCAGGCATCTGCCACAGGCCTGGCACCGGATGTGGTGCCACACGACATGGGACCGGGCACCGTGGGGCTCAGTGCTGCGTGCTGAGTGGGCCTGTGTGGCAGAATGCATTCTCAGCCGCTGGCCTGAGCGGGTGCCATCTCGCCCCACCTCTCAGGGTGTTTCCGGTTTGGGGCAGGGCCATTAATGTTCATGTATTTGCTCAAAAAATATTTACTGAGGGCTACATGTGGCCAGGCAGCGCCTGTTCTTGGTCAAGGGCAAAGAGAAGGTAGGAGTCTTATGTGGCGGGGATGCAGGACGTCAGCCACCGGGCTCCTCAGAGCACGCAGTGTGGTGGTCGGAGG